CTGCTTCTAGGAAATTCTTTTAAATCCATGCTTGGGGGTGCTGGAAAGGGTTGAGTCTTCAGGGCTCATGTTGTTTATCATAGCAGAAAACTGGAAACCTCCTACAAGTCCAAGATGAAGGTTAAACTAGGGGCATAAGTGCAGCCATTGAAAATGGGGGAGATTGCCAAATTGTTTAGGGTTGGACAAAGCCGGGGACAGGAAGGCAGGTGTGTGTGAGGTGACTCATTCTGTCTGCAGTATGCTTGAGCTATTTCCTAAGAAGAAATAACCTGGGCTGGGCATGGTAGTTCACACCTGTAATCCCAGCACTCTGGGAGGCTCAGGCAGGTGGATCACCTGAGCTCAGGAGTTCGAGATCAGCCTGAGCAAGAATGAGAAACATTTCTAGTGAAAGTAGAAAAATGAGCCAGGTGTTGTGGTGCACACCGGTAGTACCAGCTACTCAGGAGGCTGAGATAAGAGGATTGCTTGAGCCCGAGAGTTTGAGGTTGCTGTGAGCTATGATGCCACGGCTACTGAGTGAGACTCAGTCTCAAAAAAAAAAGAAGGCTTGATGGATGGGTAAATAAAACGTGGTGTGGCTCGGCGCCTGTGGCTCAAGCGACTAAGGCGCCAGCCACATACACCTAAGGTGGCGGGTTCGAATCCCCAGCCCGGGCCCGCCAAACAACAACGATGGCTGCAACCAAAAAATGGCCGGGGGCTGCGGCGGGCGCCTGTAGTCCCAGCTACTTGGGAGGCTGAGGCAGGAGACTCGCTTGAGCCCAGGAGTTGGAGGTTGCTGTGAGCTGTAATGCCACGGCACTCTACCCAGGGGGATAGCTTGAGGCTCTGTCTCAAAACAAACAAACAAACAAAAAAACGTGGTGTGCCATACGATGGAGTATTACTGAGACATAAAAAGGAAGGAAGTACTGAATTCCTTTGCTACAATGTGGATGAAACTTGACAACAATATGTGAAGTGAAAGAAGCCAACTACAGACCACAGATTCTATGAGCTCTTTACATGAAGAGCCAGAAGTTCACAGAGACAAAGGGCGGATGGCGGGGTGTGGGGGTGCACAGGGGCAGGGTGGGGGTGGGCTTAAAGGACAGTAGGGGGTGACTGCTAATGGGTATCAGGTCTCCTCTGGGGGATGAGAATGCTTTGAGACTAGACAGGAGACGGTTGTATAACATGATACATGCACAAACTAAATGCTATGGGACTCACACTATGAAAGGGTTATGCTGGGAGATTTTTGCCTCAGCAGAAGGAGGAGGAGGAGGAGGAAAAAGTGGAGGAGGACAAACAGGAGGAGGAGGAGGAAGGAGAAGAGTCAGCAGCAGCAGCAGTTACCTGAGTCCCCGTTCCAGAAGGCCAGCAGGGGTCAGCTACCTCCTCCCAGGGAGGAGGGACTGGGACTGCCTGGGCCTTTCCATAGCCCAGGGAGGGGCCAACACCCCCCAGCCTGCACGGGGCCCTGCTGCGGGGTGGCCAGGAGGCCCTGGGAACGCATGCAGTTTCAGGAAGAAGAGCAGTGGGCTCTCTGGTTCCAAGTGGCCAGCTGGGCCTGGTCTCAGCCAAGGGTGGGGCTGCACTTTGGAAAAACTGTTTGCAGGATTCTCTGTCTGGATTCCAAAGGTTTCTGGTCGTTCTCGTGCTGCAGGCCACGTGGAAGTGCAGTGACCCTGCTTGACCTAGCACTCCAGGGCTCAGGAAACCTCATGGGCACCCAGCTTGTTCCCTGTACAGCCTGCTCAACTGAGGGGTGCCCATTCTTACCACTGTGGGATGCATCTGTCTGGCTGTTGAACAGCTTGGCCTATTTGAACAGATGTCCTTAGATTGAGCCCAGTCCAGCCTCACACTTTCCCTCCTTGGGTCTAGCTCTGTCCTCTGGGGCCCGCACAGAACAGAGCAGCCCACAGGGCTCTGGGATGGCCAAAGCCTGGGGCACAGGACTGCTCACCCACCCAGGGACCTGTGCCTGGGCCAGCCTGTCATTCCTGCAGGCCCTGGGCAGGTTTTCTCACCTCTTAGAATGTGACCTACCCACCCTCACCCAGTGCTATCTGCAGGTTCAGTTGAGAGGACAGGTGGAATATTGCTCAGGCTCTGACCTTGTAATATCCCTGTGAACTAAGGCCCACTCACCAAGTCCCAGAAGGCTTGGAGAGATGCCCTATGCTCTCTCCACCCACAGCAATGTCCCTTTACCAAGAAAGCAGGGGACAGACCTTCTCCCAGATGAGGAGGGAGTGCCAGTTGTTCTGGGTCTGAGGTCAGTTCCTAGTCCTGATCTTTTCTCCAGATTCCTGGTCCCTTCCCAGACTACCAGCTCGAGGGTCACAGAGGGAGGTGGTCAGTGGTCAGGGACCAGATTAGGAACCCAGAGCAGTGGTGCCCTAGGCTGTAACTGGCAGTGGTGCCCTAGGCTGTAACTGGCAGTGGTGCCCTAGGCTGCTGTCCTCATCTTGCAGTGCTTTAAAGAGCACTGTTAGCATCGATGGGCAAATCCCAGTAAACCCCACAGCCTGATCCACTGCTGAGGGATGCGGGGCTCCCTGGCCCTTCCTATTAGGTGTGCCAGTCATGTCAAGGGCACAGATACTCTCAAGGGAAGGGTGAGACCATTCTAGGATAAGGTTCTGACACTCGGTTCTCCTGGGCTCTCTCTCTGTGAGATTATGGAAACCCACGTTCACTAGCTGGGCTGCCCTGTCACCAGATTCCCATGTGGTGCCCTCCACTCATGCTGGGAAGGGTGCACTGGGTGAGGCAGGGCTCCCTGCCACTCTGCTGCCTGGCTCCACCCCCTCACCATCTTTGAGAAGGTCAAGGTAAGGGAACCAGTCCACCTACCCCAGGTTCCCGCAGACCCAGCTCTCCCCCCTGAGCTGTGGGAATCCCCCTTCCTGCTGTGGGGGTGGACGTGGGGGCTCTGTGCTGTCTATGCACAGGGGCTTGTCTGTTTCAGGTGGTTCATCTCCGGCAGTGACAGGAAGGGAATGCCAAATTAACGCTGGGTAATAAATTTTGCAAAAGCCAATAAAACCAAAGCAGAGGGATAGAGGGGAAGAACCGCAGCAACTGATTAAACATTTTTGTTGGCAGTTGCAGACACATGGCACATTTTCCAAGCTTTGCATCAAGGAGACATCTGGCCACGGCCCATGCGTTTGTGGGAGGGAATCCCAGCCAGCAGATACCATAGGCCAGGGAGGGCAGGACCCTCCCGGGGGGCAGCAAGCTGGGGAACAGGGACTCTGTTTTGGGGGGTCTGAGGTACCTCCAGGGCAATGGTCTCAGTGAGCTGGTTGGGATACTTCCCAGGAAGACAGTGTTGGGATCTGCCCTCATGGTCTGAGCCTCAGGCCCGGCTCACCAGCCAAGTCCTGAGGAAGAGAATGTTCTGGTTTTGGAATGCCCGCTGCCCAAGCTACCACATCCCACACCCAGACTCAAGATTCTGACTCAATGCCCACAGTCCAGCCCTCCCTTGATTTTGAGGGAGAGAAGCAAAATTGTTAGGCTGGCACTGGCCCACAAGAGGACCCTGGGGTTCCCACTCTGTGGGTTCCCTGATCACGCCACATCTTCCCTATGCCAGTGCCTCTGTCCCTGCTGGTCCCCTCTGTGCTCTGGGGGTTGAGCCCAGTGCCTCCAGTGTAGCAGCCCCAGGACTGGTGAGCTCTGCTGTGGTTCCTGGCTGGCTCTGTGCCTCACTCACTGCTGCCTTTCCCCTGTGTCTGCTGAGCCATGCTAAGGCCCCACTGGGGCTCCTCATGGGCTGCTGTGTGCCTATGGTGAGGACAGGGGCCAGCTGACCTTGCCTCTGCTGTCCTTCACCCACTGGACAGGATAAAGCCTGCCTGCAGCAGCCCCAAATGCAGGCCAAAGTATCATTTCCACAGCATAGGAGCTGCTCGAAGGAAGCACCACTCACCCCTATGTGAAACAGAGGCGTGCACTGGGATCCTGCTTTCCCGGACACTTCTGGGCTATTCAGGTCCTGCACTAAAGCCCAGTGGCCCAGGGCCACCAGCTGGCTTTCTCTCTTTTCCCTTGCACACACATGGCCATGCAGAGTTGGCCTTTACCAGCCGCCTCCAGCAGTACAGGTGTCCATGCTTCATGATCCACCACTTTGGAAATGTGCCCCTTTACTCACAAGGAGGGGCATCTCCCCTCCCAGTCAGGCTCCAGGGCCACCTGCAGGACCACCTCAAGTTCACCACCGGCTTCATGACCCTGTCCTCTCTGCCCCCTCTGCATGCCTTGGCCCCAAAGGTCAGGCTGACTAAGGGCCCAGGGCCACGGCCACAGTCACAATCTCTGGACTGCTCCCACCTCCAGGCTCTCCGGCCTTAAGCTCTGCTCGTCACCGGCCACACCAGTAGCTTGCTGTCCCTCAGTATGTCAGGCTCGGTCTCACCTACACAGAGGTTGTTACCCTCCCCTCACCTGAAGAACACCTGCTCATCCTCCAGGATTCCACTCAGGGGTCCCCTGCTGGGGCCAAACCTCCCTGACTTCCTCTGTGCATCCTGGCTGCTCCCTGTGCCATCTCCTACTGCAGCACCCAGCTCGCCTCACTGCAGCCCCCTCTGTGCAGCAGCAGGGCTAACAGAGGGCCTGACTCTAGGAAATATTTAGAGAAGAAACTCTTGGCTCAGTGCCTGTAGCTCAGTGAGCAGGGTGCCAGCCATATACACTGAGGCTGATGGGTTTGAGTCCAGCCTGGGCCTGCTAAACAACAATGACAACTGCAACAAGAAAACAGCAGTGGTGGGCACCTATAGTCCCAGCTACTTGGGAGACTGACGCAAGATAATTGCTTAAGCCCAAGAGCTTTGAGGTTGCTGTGAGCTGTGACGCCATGGCATTCTACCAAGGGTGACATAGTGAAACTCTGTCTCAAAAAAAGAAAGAAAGAAAGAAAGAAAATCTTGGTTTCCCTAGGATGGGAATCACCCTACAGAGGGAGTGATAGGGCCCAAGTCTCTACATACCTCTGAGAAGAACACAGAGAGAATGACCAGGCTGATCCAGTGAATTACACCAGCAAACTGGAATGCGCTGGAAACTGCAACAAACACAACAGGGGCCCATTTTAGGAGCAAAGAATTATGTGTGTCAGTAGAGGGGGCTTTGCAGCCTCAAGGCAGGCCTCTGGGACACCGGGGTGCCGGCAAGAGCATTTAGATCTGGTGGAGATACGGTCAGGGACAAGGGCAGCTGGAACAGGGGGCTGCCCTGGAGGAGGTGGAAGGCTGTTGGGAACAGCACTGCTGTTCTTCTTTCCTCCAGCCCAAGGGCTACCTCCTTCTTCCCGCCTCTTTGAGCTCCTGCTCAGTCTGTGGGGGACTTTTCTGTAGGGGGCTTATAAGGAAATCTGTGGCTTTCCCACCTGGGTAGGCAGCTCTGGTCAAGGCAGGCTGGTCTTTCAGAAACCCACCCCCCAGGCCAGCCCTAAAGTGCCATGCACAGTCAGTGGGCCTCAAGTTCACTTTGGCTTTTCATTCTGAAAACTCAGAGCGGCAGAGATGGCCATGTTTGCCGGGATATTTCAGAGAGAGAAGGCTGGAGCAGGCCTGGGAGAGGCATGGCGTGGGGTGTCAGCCTCCCTTCCGACAGTGGCGGAGCCAGCAGCCTGCCAAACTGCCACATTGCCCCAGCTGCCTTCCAGATCTTGGAGTGTGAGTGGGAGAGCTGTCAGCCACTGACCACCCCCACTTCACCTTCTGACAGTCAGTCCTTGGAGTGAGGGCATTATCTCTGGATGGCCCTTCTAGAACGCAGGAAGCCCCATCAGCCTCTGAGCCGTAGCATGGCATGGTTTCTCAGCTGGCACCTCAGGGTGCTGGGCCGGGACAAGGGACAGGTGAGCTTCGATGAAGAGTTGGGGGAGCCCCAGCAGGCAGGCCTAAAAGAAATGTTGGATATCCAGGGACAGCAGGGCAGGACTGAGGGGGGCAGGGGCAGGAATGTTGTGGAGGACACCCCTGTTTTGCTTCCTGAGTGGGCTGCTGCCAGGCCTGGGCATGCTGCTCAGAGTCCCCTGAGGCCAGAGGCAAAGACCCAGTGCCATCAGAGGGGAGGGATGACCTGAAAGAGAGGACCCCAAGGCCTTTCCCAACACTCTGGGATCTGTGAGCCCTGGGGGTGGAGAAAAACTGGGTCAGAGAGCACATCCCAGGGCAAGGGGGCTGAAAACCAGGTTTCAGGCAGGAGAAATCGGGGGTCCCCTGGCTTTGGGCCAATATGACCCACAGAAGATGAGCCCCAGACAAGCAATGTGAATACCAGTGGGGACCAGGAGGCTGAGGCCTGCGTGACTCTGAAGAGACCTCCAGATGATTCTGAAAACATAAAATCTCTCCCCATTATCTCTCAAATGAATTCCTGTGCCTTTTTTTACGGTTTGCTTTAGAAGAGCAATAAATCTCTGATTGTGCGTTTTATGGAATTTAAGATGCCTTTTATGAGCTGCTATTGGATCTCCCACCAAAATCAATCTCCTGGATACTTAATTTTAAGCAAAATTCCAGTGTCGGCTGGGTTCTCAGTTCTGCTGAATGCCTTGTCACAACCTGAGCAGCCGAGGGCCCTGAGGACAATCCACCACAGGGAAGGAAAGACCCTGTTATGGTCAGATCTCATAAAAAGCAGACCATGCGGGTGAGCGGGAGGGAAAGTAGACAACATGGTTTAATTGAAGACAGGTTGAGTGTAAAACCAGCACCGGTCACTTTACGCTGGAAGATACTTTAATAGGAACCAAGGGGCCACCAGCTGCATAAAAGCCAACTAGGCTTATCAGACAAAAGCAATTCTGCGCTCACTGTCATCTCTTGCAGAGAGCACAGAAGGCTAACGTGACTTGGGGGCAGCTCCGATAGACCCTGAGTATAGAGGCTCCAGAAAGGAATGGGGGTGTTTGAGAAAACAAGCCCAAGACAACTAAATGGGTCTGGGGGTGGCTGAATCCACAGCCCTGGGTTTTGCCAATGCCAGGAAATCTCTCTGAGGCCAACAATTTTACCTCTTTTAAATTTTCACTTGAATGATCTACCTTCTGACTCAGGGAAATATGGAGCATGAGGAGCTATACCAGAAACCACTCACTCGTCCGAGCATCCCAGCCAAGAGTCAAAATGCTTGGCCCCTGCCTCTGTGGTGCACCAGACACTGTCTACAGGGTAGGGGGCAGGTAGCAGGCCTCCACACTGACAGCTGCGTTGCCACGGGGCATCCAGGTCAGAGAAGGGACAAGTCACATGTGCATTAGGCTTAATGGGGAACTAGGACAAACACCAGGAGGACCTATGGTGGGAAGAGAATTAGCCAATCAGTTAAAAGACCTGGTAGCTTGAAGTCCCAGCCCTATTACTCTTACACAGGGCCAGTCTCTAACTTCTCCAAATCTTAATTTGCCTGGTCTGTAACATGGGATCATGTCAGCCATGCCCATCTCACAGAGTTGCCATCAGTGTCAAATATACGAAAAAGTGCTTTCCAGACTGTGATAACATATGTAAATGACACTGCCAGCTTACGGCTGGTTACAGAACACAAAGAATCTCATTGTCATCACGGTCTCTGCCATTGTTAGCCACTACCAGGCGATATGCCTCCATAAATGGGAACTGTCTTTAAGCTACAGAAAATTCCAACCTGGAAAATTCCACATGGGAATAATAATAAGAAAAAGATGCACACAGGGGTCCCCAACTTTTTTTTTAGTTTCATCAGTTTCTGATTGTGGAATGCTGGGGTGGGCTGCAGAGGCCACACTGGGTGGGGAGGGCAAAGTGGTGCTGGGGAGATGGAGAGAGGAGCTGCCAGATGCCTTTCCTTCCCAGTGGCAGCTCCCTGGAGCCCTGGGGCCAGCTGCACAGAGCAGCAGTGACTGGCGGGAGATCCCGATCTGCTGGTTGGGGACCCCTGATGGCTCAGATGCACATGAATATCGACATCATACGTATTTGCATATGTATCTCTCTTGCTACTCACACTGGAGAAGCTTTATATCTATTAGAAGTTCCAGAGTCAGGAGAATCACCACCAATATTACACAGGCTACCAGGAAACTGTTGAGACTTGCACTGAGCAAAAATACCTGCCACACGGCTGCTCTCTGCCCACAGCACGGCTTCAGCCAGTTAGACCTGTGGGGACAAGAGTGGGAAAAAGAGGGACTGAGAATGGACGGGATAAAGGGGTGGGTCCCAGCCACAGCCCTGCTCTCAAGCCAAAGAAGCTCATGCCTCCTGGGCTCCACCTGGCTCTACTTCTCGATGAAACACAGCCTTATCCCAGAGGCCACTGGGTAGAATTGTACAGAGCAAAGACATCTCCTGCTGATCTTGGCAGCTCACAGCATCTCTGTGCTTCAGTCTCCTCACCTTTAAAATGGGCATGAAACCAACATCTCATGGGTTAGTGGAGTCTGCCTGTACAGCAAGAGCTACGTGAAAATGAGCCATTATCGCTGTGTCATTCTATATTTCGGAACCTAGCATGGGCTCTGGCCTTCAGAGAGCCTCAATTTGACTTTAATACATGCTCGGTGAATTAGCCAATGGATTTTCCATCTTCAGCTGTCAAAAGACAGACTTGAATAAAATCCCTATTTTTCAAAGCAGATTGTATGGAACACTAGTTCTACAGAATGTTAATCATTGTCACTTGATACTAAAGTTTCTGTGGTTGAGTAAGTTTTGGAAAATTTGGTTCAGACAAAGTCAAATGGAGATTTTTCTCTGCAGGACATTTCAGAGCCTTTACTGTGCTATTATGCCTCATCATGCTCCACAGGGGATGATGGTGTTAGTGTCTCCCAAACTTGTTGAATTAGGGCACCCTTCTGGTCACAGAGTAAGAATCTGGTGAGACTGGTATTCCATGGATTCTCTTTGGGAAAGCTCTTGACTATACTATCTTGAATGTTCATAGGCAAAAATGAAGCCACCAAGGACAGAATCTTTCCTGAGAAGGTTTGGAAGCGGTGATCGGTGAGTGGCCACAGGATCTCAGAGCTGGGTGGATTCCTTAAGGGTATCTCATTCCCTTCTCTCAGGAACACAAGACAGCTGCCTCTGAGGGGATTGGGAGCACAGGGCTGGGGAAACTGGTTTGGTTGGACCTGCCTTTCTCCCTTGCTGAGGAAGAAGCAGGCATCCTGAGAGGGTAGAGACAGCATCAGCCAGGGAGTCCTTGTTTCTGGCTCTGACTGCAGCCACTCTGGGACCATGTCCCCACCTCATCATTCTGAGCTTCCACTTTCCCATCTGTAAAATGGGAATAATACTTTTAAATTCATAGGGTTATTGAAAGATAAATGAGAGAACGTATCTGACCTATAAAGTACCATCATGGTAAGTCTGTGATTGCCCAAACACTCAGCTGTCACCCCCATCCTTCTCATCCAGAGGAAGTCACTCTGCTGAAGTCTTCTGCAAGGAGGGCCAGCGCCCACTCCCAAAGACCCCAAGAGTGTCACTGGGCTGGGAGGGGCTCTGCCTCGAGGTGCCCCCTTCTCTCTGAAGAATACCTTGAACACTTCAAGGCAGAGATTTCTTCCTCGCAATCCATCCAGGGAGTTTGAAGGAGTCCCCAGCCACTTGAAGGTGGGACAAAGCTCAGCTCTTCAAGAAATCTGGCAAGAAACTGGGCGTATTTGAGTCTTTCTGGAAAAAATTCTAACACCTATGGGAATAATAGGCCCTGTTCTCAGCTCTGTGGGGAATTTGAAGACTGGGGTTCAGGCCCGAGACTTGGGAAGCTGGTCCTGGAAAGAGAGGTAGGATTTTCACAGGTGATGAAGGAAGCGGGGAGATCATTTTGACAGGGGAGTGGAGAGGGTTGATGTGAACCCTTCAAGGTCCAAGAGTGTATGAGGCAAGGTATGAGGAGGCCACCAGGTCAGAGAGAAGGTGTCTCATTAAGGGACAAGCTGAAAACAGGAAGGGAAAAGCAGTGGGGGCCACACTGATTGTGAGGCCACGGATGAGAGCCTTCACCGCCCCCTGCAGAGAGATCGTGAAGTCCAAAGCAGGATCCCTTCTTCCCACTTTCTTACAGGCTCACATGAGTCAACCCACAAACAAGAGGCTGCAGGGTAAACCCCAGACTGAAACCACGTGGAATGCAAGAGGGTTGCCAGATCAAATATAAGACACGTAGTTAAATTCAAATTTCAGATAAACAACAGTGTCCTAGTATAAGTACATCCCAAACACTGCACAGGATATATTCACACCCGAAACTTACCTGTTGCTTATGTGAAATTCAAATGTATCTAGATGTCTTGTTTGTCTCTTATTTGCTAACTCTGGCAGCCCTAAACTCAGAGCTGAAGGGTTCGAGGAGCCTTGGGGAAGGCGGCCATCATTTGGTCACAGAAATGCATGAAAAGCCCAGGGTACGGGCAAGAAACCAAAGTGAGGTGTTGGGAAGCATGCCAGAAGCCACCTGTCCCAGAGGGGCAGGAGGGAAGGACCTGACCGGGAAGCCCCCCAGGTGCTTAGAGGGCCAGCCCTGGCCACCCGGGTTGGCGGCCCACAGAGACTGAAGGCTGCTGCCCACAGCTGTGTAGCTCTTTGTGCACTCAAGACCCTTTGAGTTAGAAGATGCTATTCTGTGGCTGCCCTCCGCACCTCCTGATCCTATCTGGCCTCCGCCCCCGCCTCTTTTCCCACAGTGTGACCTTCTTGCCTCTCCAGCAGGCCTCTCACCCTGATCTGGGTGGTTTGGTTCTAGCTCAGTGTCTGAGCTGCTGCAGCACTTCTGGAAGTTTTGTCCCCGCCTGTTCACTCCTCCCCCACACTGTGGCTGTGGTGTCTCCTGGGCCCACAGAGAACCGGCTCCAATTCCGCATCCTCCCTTAGACCCAGTCCAGTGTCTCTGGCCCCTAAAACTGATGTCATGCCACTGTCATTTGAAATCGGAGCCCAGCCCTTCAGGCAGCTGCCAAGGCCCTGTGCCTGGGATGGCAGCCTGTCCAAGTGGCGAGTGGGAAGCCTCCCCTTCACGTCCCACGGATGGCGCCTCTGTGCCTCATATACCCTGGGGAGAGGGGAATGGGACAAAGCATTGCACTCAGGAGCAGTTACTTCTGTATACTCAGTTCTCTATAAACAGGAGTCTCAAATCCAGACAAACAGAGGGAAATGTCACTTTATATTGATATTTAAAATGTTGATCTTTTGTTCCTTTATTTTTGGTTAGAGAAACTTACTAACCAGACCAGGGGTGGTTACTGGGAAGCTGTAGGTGCCAAGTACAGGGGGACCAAGTTTGGGGACTTGAGGCAAGAGAAGGAGATACGGATGGGTGGCAGGAGCCCCCATGGCCTGAAGTTAGCCTTAGCTGGCCTGGTCCTGATGCCAGAGAATACTCCTCCATCTCAGGGAAGAGCCAGGCAGAGGACAGGGCAGATGGAAGGATTTGGAAACCAGGCAGGGGAAGGTCTGGAAGTCCTGAAAGTTAGACACCCTCCTGCCACATGCTCGGCAGGCACTGGGGTCAAAAGAGGCAAAACCCCCTCGCTCTGGGGCCATCTGTGCTCTAATGGGAGACAGAGAGTAAAATAATAAACATAACAAGCTATGAAAAAAACACTCTCATGTTTCCATAATAAAAATCATAAAAGAACACAAGCTGCTGGGCACAGTGGCTCACACCTGTAATCCTAGCGCTCTGGGAGGCCAAGGGTGGATTGCCCTGAGCTCACAGGTTCAAGACCAGCCTGAGCAAGCGTGAAACCCTGTCTCTAAAAACAGCCCAGCATGTGGCACACCTGTAGTCCCAGCTACTCAGGAGGCTGAGGCAAGAGAATCGCGTGAGCCCAAGAGTTGGAGGTTGCTGTGAGATGTGATGCCATGGCACCCTACCAAGGATGACAAAGTGAGACTGTCTCCATAAATAAATAAGTAATAAAACATTTTTATAAAAACCACAAGCATCTCATGTACTTGATACTAACCTGAAACCAGTAGGTAAACAACTACATGCTCTCATGAGAGAAAAACTCAATTAAATTCAAGAAGTGGGGAGGGGACGCAGCTAGTTCCCACCTAGCAGGTATACTGCACACCTCCTGGGTGAAGGACACAGCCCCGACTTGGACTTCACCTCATAAATACAAACAGTGTAACCTACTTGTATGTACCCTCATATAAATCTGAAATTTTTAAAAACCAATTGTCCATAATAAAAATAATTTCAAAATAATGATAACAAGTTATGGTAAGCTACGAGGTAATGAGCGGAGTACATCAGAGGAGAAAGTGCACAGGTGGTGGAGGGATCAGGATGGCAAAGGGTGGGCTGGTAATTTAAATAAGGCTGTCAGGTCAGTCTCACTGAGAAAGTGACATTGGAGAAAGTTGAAGAGAGTGAGGCTTGCAGATATCTGGGGCGGTGGAAGGGAGGGGAAGCGATCCAGGCATAGTTAAAATGTGCACTTAAATAGGGCCTATTTATGGTAAAATTCTACTCAGCCCCCAGAGTACCTCCAGGAGAAACGCTAGAATCGTGGGAGCCAGGAGGAGGACACGGCTCCCCTGCAGCAGTGGGTACCACATGCTGCTGTAGCCAACACAGCACCCAGGAACCCCTGGCTGCTCTGGGCCTGTTCTCCCACTCCTGTGCCAGCTCAACTGTGCCCCCACACTCTGCCCTCAGCTACCTGCGCCTCCACCGTGCCTGTCTGGGAGTGAGTTGGTGCAGGCCCCCTGGCTGTACAATGCTCGGGGGAGGCATGACCGGACTGAGAATCTCTCTCCTAGGTCCTTGATACCCCGTGGCTTCTGTGGACCAGCAGTGTCAGCACCACTTTCGGCCCTTCCTGACCCCATTGACCGAGGGTCTGCATTTCACGGAGACCCCAGGTGAGCTGGGAGAGAGCTGCTGCTTTAGGTGGCTTGGTAAGAAGTATCAGGCATCTCAGAGGTGAAGGGGGCATGGCAAAGGGACACTGAGGGGACAGTGAAGCGGGCACTGAGGGGACAGTGAAGCAGGCAGGCTGGGAGTGTGTGGCGGTGTGGGGAGTAGCCCCCTGGGCTTGCCGGTCCTTTGAAAAGGGCAGAGACAGGGTAGGACTGTACCCATGCTGGGAGACTGTGGACCCCAGGGCTCCATACCAGAGCTCTCCAGGGTGGGTAGG